CTCGACGTTGCCTCGAAGACTACCAAGTTGAACCTCAGGGCGCTGCTTCCCGTGCACCTGCAGTGGATTGCCTTGGACACTGAAAAGGGGTTTTGCTTTGGTGTTGTCAATTTCAAACACTTTCACATGCTCCAGAGTCCACCAAAAGGTATCTGGTGTTTCCATGCTTACTCACTACCGAAATGCGTGAATCCCAACTGTGAAAAATCATCGAGTTGGGGGATGGCTGCAAGTCTGCTACTGCTCCAACGTTGCTGGATCCGCCAGTCGAAGACGCAGGCTGACCTTTGCCAGTCTCTGCATTCTCCACTGCTCCGCAATGTGGCCAAATTTCTTGCAAACATGGCACTGCTTTCCAGCATCTGGATTACTTGCCTGACCGGACTTGCCAGAACCTTTGTCGTTCTGTGACTTTCCTTTTCCTTTTCCTTTGTCATTGCTTCCTTTTCCTTTCTCCTGGATGCCTTTTCCTTTACCTTTTCCAACTTGTCCTGCCACTTCCAGGACTTGTCACCTTTGCCGCGCTGATCATTCTTGCCTTCGTTCTTTCCTTTTCCTTTTCCATCTTTTCCTTTGATTCCACCTATGTCCATCGGTGCCGGTCTTTGGTCATCACCTTCTCTTTTGTTTGTAAATTTTGTCAAACCAAACTGACATCCCTGCGGTCTTTTCCAAAGATTCTTGTTCACCAAGTAGTGTTCTATGTACTCTCTAATTTTGAAATATGTATCCAACGCATCACTGTGCATGACAATGGACTGCTGCAGTTCTTTGGGGGAAACATGGGCAAGGATTGAAATCTTTTCATCCTCGGAAAACGGTGTTTTAAACATCCGCTCATACTCCCTGAGTTCTGATTCCCACTGGTGCAATGCTGAACTCCACATGGCAATGTCTGTAGGAAAACTTGGGTTGGAGAGATGTTTCCTCCAAACCCATGCCTTGGTGCGATGCGCCGGTTCTGAGAGTTGGACCAGCCGTCTCCAAACCTCGAAACCGTTTGCATCGTGCATTCCTTGGCCGATGACATTCATGGTGGGTTCCGGACAGTATTGCATGAGGAACGTGTGCAGTGCCTTAGCTAAACGGTCATCTTCAGGACTGAGAGTCAGTTCATCGACTGGGTCCTTAGCACTTCCAAACTTTTCCAACAGTTCTGGAAACCTAGCGTGTACTGTGCTAGACCATGCTACATATATGTGCTTGAACTTTTCCCATTCTTCTTTCTTGCCGTTGTAGATGGGCGGCTTGGGCACGTTGCTGGGGTGGGTTAGGCTCCTCTCCTCCCTAAAGGGACTGTTGTGCGGCGCGCGCGCTTCAGCAAGAGCAGCTTCTGCTTCACCTAACCTACGGAGTGTTTCATTATGCGCCTGGCCTGCTCTTCTCAACCCTTCATTCAGCACAGCTGTTTGCTCCTGCAAGCTTTGCAGCTGTTGTTGCATGACTGCCACTTCCTGCGGCGAAGCCATCTGTACTCAGAACTTTACACTATTCTACAACCAGCAGCTATCTACACGCAACTATGTACAACGCGGTGTTACCCGCCTGTCACCAGTAACGGTAGTTTCCGCTGCCCTGTCCTCGGTGTGCTTGCTCCCAGCCTTGCCACTCGCGGCGTTGGTACTTGTAGCTGGCACTGTAGGACTGGTAGCGCTTGTGCTTCTTGACCCCGAGCTGTAGCTGTAGGACAAGTACTTGTCACTGTAGTCCTCGTCCCCCTGAGCTGTGACCTCGGCGGTGTTTTCGGTTTCCTGAACCGCTTCTGCCTGCTCCTCTACGTCCTCTTCGACCTCCTCCTCGGCCTCACTGTACCACACGCTTGTAGGTGGGTGCGTGAGGGTGGCTTCCGAGAACACAGTCTGGTTGTCCGCGATGTCGGTGTCGCGGTCCTCCGGCTCCGGAAGCCTTGTCACTGCCCTGCCACCAGCGACCTGGTTAAGTTTGTGGGGGCTTCAGAACCTGCTGCTTCCTCTGCCTCGTTGCCAGCAGTGTCGCTGTTGCTCCTAAGGTCCTCCCGTATGCGGTCAAGTACCGCCTCTGTTGGCTCTCTCGGCTCGGTCTCCTCGGCCACAGGCTCAAGCCCTTGCCCACGTAGTCCGCGAGCTACTCGACGTCCTCCAGTTTCCTTTGCGTAGGAGGTCCTGGAACTTTTGCCAGGGGTATTCTTCAGCACCTTGGCTAGGTGTGGGTAGCTTGCCTCGAACCTTTCGAAGCCCCTTCTTGAAGCCCTTGAAGCTTCGGAGTGCAGCGGAAGGCCTCCTTCCACTGGGTTGTTGGTACGAAAAAAAAGGCAGCATCAGCAAAAGCGCCCAGAGCATAGAAAAGGACACCCTCGATCTGAAAGCACCCTGCCCATATCTCTGCATAAGAAAAAACCTACAGCAACAAGAAAGGAAAAAACACAATTGTGGACTGATTCGTGAAGAAAAGAAAACTGGATGTAGCAGTACGACGTATGAGACTCAACAAGACGACATTCAGCCAAGAGTGCCGGAAGAACCCTCCCCAAAGTACTTTACTTTGATCATACCCCCACGTTCCACATACGCGGTCACCTCATGTGCAATGAAAAAGCTAAAACCGCCACTTTCCAAGAACACTATTAGGTCGGAGGCCATCGCTATTAGTAACAAGGGCATCGCTACTAGTAGCAAGGACGCTACTAGTAGCTAGGGCATTACTAGTAGCAAGGATGCAATTAGGTTGGAGGCCATCTTCTGCGGCCGCATCGCCTCTCCAGAGTCCACCAATCTCAAGACCTCTTTGATGCGGCCGCGCAGGTTTTGCCTCGAACCGAGCAATTGTCTGCAGAAAACTTCAGCAGGTCCTTCTACAGCTGTCACAGCAAATGGTGGCAATCCGTGTGGTCTTTGTCAGCAAAGTGCAAACTGACAAAGGTTTCGCTGAAAGCCAAGTGTGTCGTCTGTTAGAGCATCCAAACGGTCAACGAACAGCGTCTAACTGCATCTTCGCGTGAAGTTAATGGGTGAAGACCTTCAACAACCACAGCTAAGCTCCTCCCATCATCCTGTCAGACCTTCGACCACCTTTTTCTTTTAACTTTTAACCCACTCTGCCCTGCGTTCAACTTACTAGGAATGGCCTCCAACCTGGTAGCGATGGCCTCCAACTAGGAATGGCCTCTAACCTAGTGGCGATGGCCTCCAACCTACTAGCAATGGCCTCCAACCTACTAGGCATGGCCTCTAACCTAGTAGCGATGGCCTCCAACCTACTAGGCATGGCCTAGTAGCGATGGCCTCCAACTTACTAGGCATGGCCTCCAACTTACTAGG